TATTAATTTATTTAAAATATTCAACACCCCCCAGACACACACACACAGACAAGGTGGTTCACACTCTGCATTCACAATTCCAGTCGTCCAACTCAAGCTTCATGGACTCACCCTAAGACCTAGCTTTCAGGCAGCCCAGGACTTCGGATTGCAAATGGAGCAGAGGCATTGCGTATTCAAATAGTCCCATATAAAGAAGGGGAAAATCCCCTGCAAAGGAAAAAAAAGTTAGGAAAAAGCCTGCCCTAGAAGCCAACTCCTCAACATATACAGAGGTGCCCTGCTAGACGATGATAATCCGTTCCACTGAAATCGCTGTTTAAGCGAAATCATCGTCTAATGAAAAGCATTTCCCCATTGGAAAGCATTGAAACCTGTTTAATGCGTTCCAACGGGGAAGAATCGTCATTGTCTAGCGAAGATCGGCCATAGGAAAGCCGCTTTGCGAACCGCCGATCAGCTGTTTACATCGCTGTCTTGCGAAGCTTAGGTCCCGAAAACAGCTGTTTGCGAGCACGGAGGGCACAGCACGGAGGGAGATGTCAAAATCGTCGTCTAGCGAAAATTGGTTTGCGAAGCAGGGACCAAACATTGTCCAGCGAAATTCCCCCACAGGAATCACTGTTTTGCGAATCGTAAAAAGTCAATGTCTAGCGAAAAAACTGTCATCTGGGATAACTGTCTAGTGAGGCACCGCTGTAGTTTCCTGCAGCCAGAGAATGAAGACAGACAGTTCCACCACACAGGCCTTGATGTACTTCTCCGCAGCCATGACCCACGTTTTGAATAGGGCCCGGAAAGGAAGCCAGATAGCTGAGTGAAGCAGGGTGGATAAAAATCAAAGGTGTTTGGTTTTTTTTTTTAAAAAAAAAAAGCGAATTGCTTTAAATCATGATTTAAATGTTCAAAAAATGGGTTTTTCATTTATTTAAATCGATTTGATTTAAATCAGTTCCACCCCGGGGGGGGGGGGGAGAAGGATGCAATCAGAGGAGGTGCTAACAAGATGCTGGCTCTTAGCATTTCCAAGGTCCTTCTCGACTTCTTTTGCACCAAAGCCAGGAAGATGGCATCGGTTGGGCGGGCATCCTCTTCGGAGGTGTGTGTGTGTGTGTGGGTGTCTCTGTCCTCCTCTCGCCCCTGGCGTTAACTTTCCTGCTTCTTTCAGGTGTGTTCATGCTGGTGGCTGGAGGTATTGTGGCCGGCATATTTTTAATATTCATAGAAATAGCATACAAAAGGCATAAAGACGCTCGGAGGAAGCAGATGCAACTGGCGTTTGCGGCTGTTAATGTGTGGCGGAAAAACCTGCAGGTAGGACAGACCGTTTTTAGAGAGAAAAAAACAAAACCTCCAAAACAGGTGCGGTTTTTGGTTTGTTTGTTCGTTCGTTTCCCATCACTTCACCCAACCAGTGACTACCGTGCTATATGGGAAGAGCCCAGGGAGAGGTTCCCGGCAGCCCTCTCTACAGACCCCCCCGAAACCCCAACCCCACCCCTGCCGCCACCCCCCTTCCAGGCAGGCCACCGGCAGCTCAGCTAGTCATTGCCCCTGCTGTTCCCCTTGGCACGGGCACACCGGGGTGCCGCACAGGTGTGCCACAACAGGAAACTCCCCCCTCTACCCCACGCTTTCCCTGGCCGGAGGTCCAGCGACCCCCCCCTTTCTTTTCTGGTCTGCACCCCATGAGATGCGTCTGCTCCTCCGAAATCCCACTTCCCTTGCTAGGAGGACCCCAGGCTAAGCCCTGTCCGGAAGTGGTGCCCCAGTGTCTTTTGTGGCCTCAAACCTGGCAGCAACGAGGTGCCTGGTGCTGCCTATTGCTGGGAGAAAGAATGGTAGAGACGCGAAGCCCGAAACGAGGGGCAAGGGGCCATGCCCCCTGCACCCCTCAGATTGGGGCATCGCTTGGGCATGGCCAATGGCAGAACCGAGGCCGTACAGGTGGGAGCGGCGGCATATACCATATTTTTCAGCGTATAAGACTATACTTTTGTCTAAAATCTTTAGACTAAAAATTGAGGGTTGTCTTATACACGGATGTAAGCTGAGGAAAGAACATAAACAAGTGCAGGGGAAAGAAGGGATCAAAGCGATCCTGCAGCGCTTTGATCCCTTTCCCCCTACTCTTGCTAGGCCCCACTTAGATTTCTTAATTTTGGATTAGAAAAGTGGGGGAACATCTTATACATGGGGGCATCTTATACACGGAAAAATACGGTAATTTATGACACCCCACAGTTCCCATGCTTTGGCCTTCCAGAGAAATCGGGGTCAGTCCCCGAGCGAGTGTGTGGTCCATCGTGCCCCCTTTCTGACACCTTCACGGGATGCCCCAGCTGACAACCCTTGTTTTTGAGATGGGACAGGTGCTAACCATCCGTCTTGGGGGTGGGAGTGTTCCTCTTAGTGTGCACAGAGGATTTCCTTCCTCTGCTGTATAACCAATCCCATCTTAAACCCAGGAGGCTGGATTCCAACGCAGTCAAAACTGCCAGCTCATGATGGCCACCCTTAAGAAAATAAAAGAAAAGCGTTTAAAACAGAAAGCAAACAGGATGCATCAAATAGACCGGCCCTGTGCCCTTGGAAAAGTGTGGTTTTGGAACGAGGGCCTTCTCTAGGCCACTGGCCCGGGGCCACCCCATGGCACAATGGATGCCAAGGACAGAGACCTGAGAGCATGGCGGAGAAGGAGCGACCGGAAGCTCTTATGGCCGGCTGCCGAGAAAGCAGGCACAGGAGGGAGGAAGACTGAGGACGTGGTGCACAGCGATCCAAACCCTGCGTGTAGCCGTCTTCTAACCGACAGCCCAGTCTCCTTCCCTCCCTCCCTCTTTCCTTCCCTAGTTTTGCCCCCACTCACCCACCCAACCCACCCAGGCAGCTGCAGGACCGACCGAAGGGGGCCGGGGCATGGGGTGGGGAAGGGCAGGCGCGGGACGGAGAGCTGGCGCAAGTTAAGCCAAGCACAATAGTCACTGCCATTTTTCACTTGCCAACTTTCTAGAAAAAATCCTGCCCGGCCCGGGGGGGCATTGGGAGGGGCAGTGATTTCTTGGGGAGGGGGGGCCTTTTCCGCCCAGCATGCCACCCCGTGGGTTATAAAGAAGCAGATAACATACGCTAAAGAGATCCGTTTGACAATGTAAGACTTTTTCACAGGAGGATTCCTCAGACCACTAGTATGTGATACATTGCTAGAAGGTAGGCAAGTGGAAAGCTTTCTTTGTTCAAGAAAAAAAAAAGCAAATATCTCTATTTATCTCTATTTATCTCTATAGTGGGGTATTTTCTCTTTTGTTCCTTCGTGTCCTGGGGAAATCACAGTTTTGCCATGGCTATTTCTGGCAATGCCATGGGAAGGCAAAATATTTATATATATATATAAAATAACATTTTTTTAAAAAAAAGTCACCCCCATCCCATCCTCTGGCTGGCTTTTCCTTTTCTGTGCATGCGTGCCAAAAGGGCAGAGAAACTCTAAAGAGGAGGAAATGTATCCCCCCCCCTGCGCACATGTTGTGTGCAGTTGTGGGATACATTTTTGGTCCCCCCCCTGCCCACCCACCAACCATGGGCTGGTAAAGCCAGACCTGTTCCATTCCTGCTGCTCAATAAAGGGTGCATGGGGTGGGTGCAAGGGGGGGGGGAGAGATAAATTAACGGTGTGCAAGAATTGGCTCACTTCCCCACCCCATCTGGCAAGCGGGGCGGGAGGGGGGAGGATGGATCCCACATTATCTACACCCCCCCTCTGTCCAGGAGCAGGTCTGGCTCCCTACCACCCGATCAGCAGCGACTGTTCTTATTTCCACTCCCCCACCCCACCCCTCGTTTCCGTTTCTTTGAGTTTTGGCCATCTCTCACGCCATCCAAAGCCTTTTAATGCTGTGCTTTTTTTTTCTCCCCCTCCCCTTTTCCTTTCTTCTCGGTCAAGAAGTTTTAATTTCAGTTTTTTTTTGTTTTTTGTTTTGTTTTTTTGCTTTTGCTCCTGTTCCACTTTTGGAAAAAAAATATTACAAAAAAAAGAGAAACCAGTTTCAGCTTTTGCGCCAAAGCATCACTGAAATTCTTGGAATACCTTTTTTTATTTTAACATACAATGCCCTTCTCTTTCAATGCAGTCCTCTCTCTCTCTTGTGGCTGTAGGATTCACCTTCAGAAAAGGCCCCGAGCATTTTTATTTAGTGGTAGGTGGAAGTGTCTCCCCCCCCACCCCTCTCTTTCTCTAGCCGTTCCCGTCTTGGCAGGAAGGGGTAGGGAAGGGAGTGATCCGATCCGGCGCGTCCAGGGACCCGAGAGATGCTGTCGGCTCTTGCTGGGGCTCTCTCTTGGGAACGCCAGCTTAGTTCATAAGGTCGCCCAACGATGACCCTTGGCAGACACTCAACGGCTTGTCCGCTGCCCCTCTGCAGCCTCTCATGGGGTCCGTTTCCTCCAGCGGTCCAAAGCCCTTCCCGTTCGGCTGCAGCGACGCATTGTGTGTCCCTCCCTCCCACACACAGAACATCCCAGCCGAGTTGGAGGGGGGGCTGGCAACAGGAAGGCCACCTCTGCGCCCCGCTAGGGAACCTCCATGTCAGACATCATGCAACAGGGAACGAACCAACCATCATGGCAAAGGGGGCCGGGTTCATCTCGGGGTAGAGGTCCGAGCCATGCACTTGAGATCTAATCGCTTATATACATATTCATTTTAGGATAGAAAAAGTGGTAGAGCAGAACCAGACTCTAAAAAGAAAGCCACTTTTAGGTCCATCACATCCACCCTGGCCTCCAGCTTCAAGAGACGTAGGTCATCTAAAGATACGGTAAGAGGAAGAAAAAAACGATTATGCCCTTTCTCTCTCTCTCTTTCTCTCTTTCTCTCTCTCTCTCTCTCTCGTTCTCTCCTGCTCTCTTCTGCCATCCCATCAACTGCCACACATCCATCTCCAGGCTGCCAGTGTAACCTGCCATAGCCTCATGTCCGTCAAGAGTCGGTCGGTCACAGTCAAAGTCAGTCAGCCAGTCCTCCCCCCCCTCCGTGTCCCTTGGAGAGAAAAAAACAGGTTCACAACCCAGCAGGGCCTGGAGGAATTTGTTAGGTGTCCTGTGAAGAGTTTTGGAGATCACTGCTACGCGTTTTATTCGTCCTTAATTTTTCGTTTTTTTCATTTCGGAATCCGGTCCTTTGCTTTTCGTTCTGTTCGGGGAGGGGAAAAATTCGTGGCTCAAATTTCCTTCTCCGATTTTGGGAAAAAACCACCGCTGGAAAGTGATTTCTTTCCCAGACCCTCCCTGTTTTCTGGGTGTCCCTGTTTGTCATTGTATGCTTACAGAAGTCACTGACCCCCCCACTCCCACCCTCTACCC